GCCGGCGCGCGCACTCACCGTTGTGCTTGGCGTATCCCCAGTGATGGGACATGGTGGCGTCGGCGAGCGGGGCAGAGCAGGAGTTGGCGAGGGGCTCTCGGCGGCGGCTCTGGCGTCTGCACGGTGTGTCCCCGGGTCGCGCGCCACGGGCTTTTATAGGCTCCCGCCAACTTGGTACTCGGGGGCGGCCCGGGGGAGGGGGCCCCGGGTGGACCCGGGCGACGGGGAGGAGGAGGTGACGGGCGGAGGTGATATCTCCGCGCTCGGGGCGGGCCAGGCGCTGGGGGAGGGGAAGGCGTCCTCTGGGCCAGCGCCCGGGAGCTCCTTTCCCGCCGCCCCGGCCGGGCTCGGCTCGCCGCCCGGGCCCCCGCGCCCCGCTCCCGCTCCCGCTCCCTGGTCCCCGGGGCGGCCGGCTAGTCTCGGAGCTCCGGGCGCGCGTCGCCGCCGCGGCTCCGGGCGCCTGGGTCCGGCTGCGGAGCGGAGCGTCTGCGCGCACCCCCTCCCCCTCCCGGCGCGGCTGCGGGCGGCGGCGCGGGCGGCGCGGGACCCGGGCCCCCGGTGCCCCGCGTCCCCCGGCCTCTTTGTGAGCGCATCCTTGGCTGCCGAGACCGCCCGCCCGGCCCGGCTGACCCCGTCCGCGCTGGGGTCCGCAGTCCGGAAAGCTCACTCCCTGGTGACCCTGGCCCGGGGCTGGAGAGCCCGGTGCGGAGCTTTGACCTTGGGGCAAATAGGGATACGGTCCTTGCGGCGCCGGGGAGCGAGCGAGCAGCTCCTGCTGCTGGAGTCACGCGCCGCCTGCCGGACGGCCGTGGAAACGGCCAAGACGGGGCGCGGAGGGAGGTGGCCTCGTCCTTCCTTAGTCTGGGTTGCACACTTGCAGACCCCCTACGAAGTTCTCATCCCCTCCTTCTACCCTCCTCCATTCAAAATATAAATTGGGGCGGGGTGCGGGGACTTCCTAAATAGGTACACGTGGATTTAAAACCCTCCAATGTACAGACGCACACATCCAACATTTCTAGGCAGAAATCCCGTACAAGAAAGACTTTCTTACAAAGAGTGAGAACGTCCCCGACCTGAAAAAAAAGGAACAAGGCGTTTTTGATAGTTAGCAAAGGACATTCTTTTTTAAAAAAAAATATTAGGATTAAAACGCACGTCAAATCATTCCATAGTTCAATCGCGTCCAGTAGAATTGTACATTTGCAACATTCGATTTTCATAAGCCCTCGGACACCTTTGCCTTCTAAGATATATAGATTTATAGATACCATGACGGCAGCGTTGGTGTAATTTAAATATTTTCTTTGGCCCTGACCACAGAAATAATCACCTGTGCCTGTCACCTCCCCCTTTATTTCTCTCCTCCTAATTTTAAAAGAAGCTAAAACATGTCTGTGGCCTTGTAAGATGATAGTGGATGGAAGGCCCTGAGCCTACTGTGCCTAAAAGACAAGAGCGCTCTGTTTTCAGGTGGGGACAGAATTCATTTCCTTTAACGGACTTTGCCACACAATGGGGAGGGGGAGATCTGTCCTGTGGTTTCTAGTACCTTTGTATGTGACAGAAAATTAGGGGCGGGGTACAGGCTTTCCACAGTTATGTCACACTTGACATCGCATGGCATCTAAACCCTCCAACCTCACTGCCATCAAGCGGATTCCTACTCACAGTGACACTGTGGCAAAGAGTACAATGGCCCGGTGGGTTTCTGAACCGGTAAGTTTTTACTGGAGTAGCAAGCCAATCTGCTGGTGGTTTCAAACTGCTGGCCTTTAGGTTAGCAGCCCAACCAGTCACTCACTGGGCTCCGTATATTGCCCATACCTAGGCCTACATAACGCAGCCCTGGTGGTGCATTGGGTTAAACATTAGACTGTTAACAAAAAGGTCGACAGTTGGAATCCGCCAACCCCTCTGAGGGAAAAAGATGTGCAGCCTTGGAAACCCCAGGGGCAGTTCTGTTGTGGCACCATGAGTCAGAATTGACTTGATGGCAATGAGTTGGGAGGGTTTTGTTTGGCAAAAGAGCAGAAATGAGCCATTTTAGATTTCTAGGGCCATCACACCATGTAGCTTCTGTAGAAGCTGTAGAGCACAGTCTCTTGGCAAGCTTGTGGAGGGCAGGGACATCGCTTGGATTCTTCCTTTGAATTTAGGATATTCACCCACAGGGAGCCAGAGAGTTGCTGTGAAACTCTTCCCTAGGCCATGGGCCCTTAACACAGATTAAAAACTAAGAGTTGCTGACAAAGGCCTATGGATGTAAAACGAGGAGCTGTCGAGTTGGCTGTAGCTTAGGGTCACCCCTTGGGTATCAGAGTAGAACTGGGCTCCGTGGAGTTTTCAGAGGTCATGTGTTTCCCGGGGTAGATCTATGAGGCCTCCGGTGTTTGCACCACCAGGAGAGTGCCTATCAATATAACGTCAACTCTGAAAAATGTGTGAAAGGAGCCAGGCCATTCGATCTGCCGGAATCTTTGCCCCTGAGGCTCAGAGAAGCTGGAATTGTGTCTGCATTCACTTGGGGAAAGTAGTAGTATATTTTGATCATTAACTCTCTTTAAAATATCCAACACCACCCAACTGCAGCTCACCAAATGAATTCTTTTTATGGGCTGTTCTCTTTCTTTGTAGAAGAGTGGCTCTAAGTCTCAGTGGAGGGCAGGCCTGCCTCCTCCCCACCCCCACCCCCAGCAGCTGTCACATGCTCCCAGCAAAGCCCAGAGTAGGTCACTGTGGCTCACCTTTGGGTGCACCAGCAGGGATCCACATAGCTTTTAGTACCTTTATTTCCATCTTGCAGTGCCAGTCCGTTTTTATGCTGCAGATGGCTTTGTGCCTTCCTGGAGAGCAGTCAGAATCTGACGTGATGTTTCTGAGAACATCGCAGACCAGTCAGAATCTGACTTGATATTGTTGAGAACATCGTGGACCAGTCAGATTCTAACTTGATGTTGTTGAGAACATCGTGGACCAGTCAGAATCTGACTTGATGTTGTTGAGAACATCGTGGACCAGTCAGAATCTAACTTGATGTTGTTGAGAACATTGCGGACCAGTCAGAATCTAACTTGATGTTCCTGAGAACATCGTTAGAATGCTGCCGTAATGGAGCTGACTATGTGAGAATACGCTAATGTGGGACGTTTGAAAGCACACAGTATTTATTTTATCCCACCCCTGTGTATCTATCAGAGGGAAGGATTGGTTCGTTTAAGATCATTCTAAATTAAGAACCCATGCAAGACCCGAATGAAGGAAGGTCTCTTTCTCTTTTTCTTTTCAGTTCTACCAAAAATATGATGTTATCAATCAGAAAAACATAATTTTTTAAAAAGGAAAAAAGAGCCTAAAGACCAAATATTAGAATGAAAAATCTTCTATTATATGTAACGTTGGTAATATATATATGCACATATCTATAAAATAAAATGGAAGAGTATTTGCTTCTCCCTTCAAAAAAGACCATGAAATTTTGTGAAACGTATGTGGTTTATTATTTACTGTTTAATTAGGAAGCGAATAGGAAAATTAAAATCCAGATAGCCATACATTTGTCTCAATAATTTTGTTGCGGGAGCTATCTAAAACCCCCTGGAACAGTTCTACAAGTGGGCTTTGAAAAACTTGGGGGTGGAGGGGAGTGGAATTAAAAGATTTAAATTTCTACAGAGCTTCCGAAGCCCTCGCTCCCTTTGCTCAGATGGGGTCCCCATGATGGGGGAATTAGCTCTCGGGCAGCTAAGCACACAGTGACCCAAACCCTTCTTAGACTTCCCAAAGCTCTGTGCGCACACGTCTCTCAAGCCTAGTTGTCGTGATTCTGTATTATCAGCAGAGACCATGATGCCACCATCGTTTCCAATCCACCACCCCCTGGAGCATTCAGAGACCGTAGCTAAGCCCCCTGCCACATGGAGGCACTCAGTAAATGACCGCTTCTTCAGCCCCCACCCCCACCCCCGCAGACAGTGCTGAACAGAATCACATGTAATGGGCACAAAAGTGAATAACCTGGGCAGGGTTGGGTGAAAATTCCAAAGGAAAGAGCCTCTGGTAGCAAGAAGGTCTTTTGAGGGGATGGGAGGAGCATGATTGGCTGGGTCATGGCCATTCTAGCCCACGACACGTTTCATTGGTCTTCTCGACTGAACTCCCAGAGGCTGGGAACCATATCACAGAGCTGGCCTCTCTGGCCTCTGTGCCTAGTCCCCCCTTTCCATCCCAAGCGGCTTTTCTTTGCTCTCCTAGGGCCATCAAGTCAATTCCAACACGTAGCAAACCTATGTAGCAGATTGTGAAACCCTGCCTAAGACTAGCGCAGGTGAAAGATCTCAAATAGAGTTACATGCTGACCAGCAATGCTTTGGTCCTAATATCCTCTTACTGGCCTCCTGTTCATCGGACTGGGAGAAAGTAATAAAATCCCCCCTCTGTACCCTAACACTCCCTGTTCCCCTCAACGTGTTTCCCACGCTGGCTTTCTATCTAAGTCGTGCTAGGCTGATTATGTTAATATCAGCTTCACCACGTGAGTACACTTCTCCTTTGCTTGTAGACCACCACCTGGCATGGGGAATTTTTGACTTCCTAATTGTAACAAGGCAATGTAACATTTTCCACATGAGGGCAACTGCAAGCATTGTAAGTGTTTCCTTCTTGTCGAGGGGAGGCATCCGGATTCCCCTGTATCACAAACAGACTTTCCACACCCTAGGGCTCCATGTAAATTATGAACTCTTTTGCCCTGCTGTGGTGGTTCATGTGTGTCCACATAGCAACGTCTTCCTCCCCCTACCCCCAACCACCACTGAGGACCTATTGTTAACCCCCTCCCTGAATCCACAGCCATGGAGATCTCGCCAACTCATAACGGACCCTAGAGAGGACTTGAAGCTGTGAATCGTCATGGGAGCAGACAGCCCCATCTTTCTTCCACGGAGCCGCTGGTGGCTTTGAACCCCTGACCTTGTGGTTAGCCATCCAACTGCTCACCAACATCACCACCACGGCTGTTAGTTGCCATCAAGTGGATACTGACTCATAGTGACCCCATGCAACAGAGAAGAACTTCCCCCACAGGGTTCCCCAGGCTCTAGGCTTTTTTTTTTTTAAATTGGGGGCTCTTACCTCTCTTATCACAATCTATACATTCCTCCAATGTGTCAAGCACATTTGCACATATGTCGCCATCATCATTTTCAAAGCAT